CGCATTGTAGTGGCTGCGTCAAGGTTGCTCGGTGCCGCGGCTGCATGCGTAATACTATTGTCTTTTGCAGCTGAACATCGTAAATCGTATTGGAGTGGCTGCATCTAGGCTGCGACAGTGATTTGTCAGCAAATTTTCGCAATTTTCACAATAGTAATTTTCCTTTTATCCTTTTAAAAAGTGCTTCAAAATTGTCTTTTTCCTGCTTTGGCGTCGAGATCCGGTTTTGGAGCTGCTATTGCCGACACCGTTGCGCGTAGTTCTTTTGTGCTTTGCAGTTCAGTCTCTGCAGATCGCATTGTAATGGCTGCGTTAAGGTTGCTTGGTCACAGTAGTACTGGGAAGTAGTTTGTGCAAGCTTTGTAGTACACAGTAGTACTGGGAAGTGCTCTGTGCAAGCTTTGCAGTACAAAGTAGTACTGGGAAGTGTTTTGTGCAAGCTTTGTAGTACAAAGTAGTACTGGAACGTGTTTTGTGCAAGCTTTGTAGTACAAAGTAGTACTGGGAAGTTGTTTGTGCAAGCTTTGTAGTACACAGTAGTACTGGGAAGTGCTTTGTGCAAGCTTTGTAGTACAAAGTAGTACTGGGAAGTGCTTTGTGCAAGCTTTGTAGTACAAAGTCGTACTGGGAAGTAGTTTGTGCAAGCTTTGTAGTACACAGTAGTACTGGGAAGTGCTTTGTGCAAGCTTTGTAGTACAAAGTAATACTGGGAAGTGCTTTGTGCAAGCTTTGTAGTACACAGTAGTACTGGAAAGTGCTTTATGCAAGCTTTGTAGTACAAAGTAGTACTGGGAAGTGCTTTGTGCAAGCTGTGCACCACAAAGTAGTACTGGGAAGTGTTTTGTGCAAGCTTTGTAGTACAAAGTAGTACTGGAATGTGTTTGGTGCATGCTTTGTAGTACAAAGTAGTACTGGGAAGTGCTTTGTGCAAGCTTTGTAGTACAAAGTAATACTGGGAAGTAGTTTGTGCAAGCTTTGTACTACAAAGTAGTACTGGGAAGTGAAGTGTGCAAGCTTTATAGTACAAAGTAGTACTGGGAAGTGCTTTGTGCAAGCTTTGTAGTACAAAGTAGTACTGGGAAGTGCTTTGTGCAAGCTTTGTAGTACACAGTAGTACTGGGAAGTAGTTTGTGCAAGCTTTGTAGAACAAAGTAGTACTGGAACGCGTTTTGTGCAAGCATTGTAGTACAAAGTAGTACTGGGAAGTAGTTTGTGCAAGCTTTGTAGTACAAAGTAGTACTGGGAAGTAGTTTGTGCAAGCTTTGTAGTACACAGTAGTACTGGGAAGTGCTTTGTGCAAGCTTTGTAGTACACAGTAGTACTGGGAAGTGCTTTGTGCAAGCTTTGTAGTACACAGTAGTACTGGGAAGTGCTTTATGCAAGCTTTGTAGTACAAAGTAGTACTGGGAAGTGCTTTGTGCAATTTGTGCACCACAAAGTAGTACTGGGAAGTGTTTTGTGCAAGCTTTGTAGTACAAAGTAGTACTGGGAAGTTGTTTTTGCAAGCTTTTGTAGTAGACATCAGTACTGGGAAGTACTTGAGAAGAACTTAGCTGACATTTGGGAAGACATGGAACGAGATGAGAAGAGCTCAGATGAGATGAGTTGAGATGAAATGCAAGTACCGGGGAAAGTGTTTGCATTGTACCGGGGTCGCGCGCAGGTCATGTTCTTGGACAGCAACACTGCAACAGCTTCGCACAAAGCACGCACGCACGGGCCTGGCTGACGCACGGCGCGCGCAAGTTCCTTCGTAGTAGTACTAGGAAGTGATTCATGAAAGCTTGATGACATATGAGAAGAGATGAGATGAAGTGTGGAGTGTGAAGAGTGCAGTGTGAAGTGTGGGGCGTGAAGAGTGCAGTGTGAAGTGTGGAGTGTGAAGAAAGCAATGAGAAGTGAGAAGTGTGAAGTGTGGACTGTGAAGTGTGAAGTGTGAAGTGTGGAGTGTGAAGTGTGAAGTGTGGATTGGGAAGAGTGCAGTGTGAAGTGAGAAGTGTGGAGTGTGAAGTGTGAAGTGTGCAGTGTGGAGTGTGAAGAGTGCAGTGAGAAGTGTGAAGGGCGAAGTGGAGCTTCAAATGTGACATGTGAAACAGGACACCACTTTCGCAGGGTGCACGCACGCACGGGCTTGGCTGGCGCACGGCGCATGCAAGTTCTATAGATGAGAATGGTCTTATATATATATAATATATATATATTATATATATGGGAGCCGTCCGTAAAAGCATATAACAAATTTATGAATTGATGCGTTTACTCTGCTTTGCGCGATTGCCAAAACCTGCATCGCGATAGGCTGAGCGATTGGTTGGCGATTGGTTATACGGCTACGACTACGACTACGACTACGACTACGACTACAAATACTACTACTACTACTACTGCTACTATACTACTATACTACTACTACTGCTGCTGCTGCTGCTACTACTACTACTACTACTCCTGATACTACTCCTACTACTACTACTACTCCTGATACTACTCCTACTCCTACTACTACTACTACTCCTACTACTACTCCTGCTACTCCTACTACTACTACTACTCCTACTACTGCTACTACTACTACTACTCCTGCTACTACTACTACTACTCCTACTACTACTCCTACTCCTACTCTTACTCCTACTCCTACTCTTACTCCATCTTACTCCTACTTCTACTGCTATTACTGTGAGTTTTCCGGACCGTTTCCGGACCGCGCAATTTTCTTTTCTTCTCAAATATGAAAACGAATGCGTTCACGCATGGATCCTTACTCTCATTACTAGATTTGCTACTACTCTTAGTACTACCACCACACCCGCTGCTACTGCACCACCACTACCACTAGTACACCTAGGAATTTCTGCCTTTGCTTTTAAATCCAATTGACACGAGTCCCGCTGAAGGGTCAGAAACCAGTCAGAAACCAGTCAGAAACCCGTCAGAAACCGGCCAAACGCAACCATCTGTTTCCCCCCTCCCTCCCTCTCTCTCTCTCTCTCTCTTTCTCTCTTTCCCTCCCTCTCCCTTTCTTCCCTTGCCCTGCTACTAGAACTCCTACTCCTATTCCTACTCCTACTCTTACCCCTACTACTACTACTGCTGCTACTACTACTACTGCTGCTACTACTACTACTACTCCTACTCTTACTCCTACTCTTACTCCTACTCCTACTCCTACTACTGGTATTACTGTGAGTTTTCCGGACCGTTTCCGGACCGCGCAATTTTCTTTTCTTCTCAAATATGAAAACGAATGCGTTCATGGGCGGATCCTTCTACTAGTGTTGCTACTACTCTCAGTATTACCACCAGCGCCGCTACCACTGCAATGCCGCTACCACTACTACACCGAAGAATTTTTGCCTTTGCTTTTCTCCACTTGACAAAAGTTACACGGAATGGTCAGAAATCAGTCAGAAACCAGTCAGAAACCGGGCAAACGCAACCTCTCTCTCTCTCTCTCTCTTGCCTATTCCCTCACCCTCCTACCAGAACTCCTACGCCTACTCCTATGCCAATTTCCACTACCACTACTGCTAATGCTAGTGCTACTGCTACTGCTAGTGCTGCTGGTACTACTGTGAGTTTTCCGGACCGTTTCCGGACCGCGCAAGCTTATTTTGCTCCCAAATTTGAAATCGAATGCGTTCACGCATGGATCCTTATTCTCATTACTAGACTTGCTACTACTCTTAGTACTACCACCACACCTGCTGCTACTGCACCACCACTACCACTAGTACACCTAGGAATTTCTGCCTTTGCTTTTAAATCCAATTGACACGAGTCCCGCTGAAGGGTCAGAAACCAGTCAGAAACCAGTCAGAAACCAGTCAGAAACCGGGCAAACGCAACCTCTCTCTCTCTCTCTCCCTTGCCTATTCCCTCACCCTCCTACCAGAACTCCTACGCCTACTCCTATGCCAATTTCCACTACCACTACTGCTACTGCTAGTGCTACTGCTACTGCTAGTGCTGCTGGTACTACTGTGAGTTTTCCGGACCGTTTCCGGACCGCGCAGGTTGAAATCGAATGCGTTCACGCATGGATCCTTACTCTCATTACTAGATTTGCTACTAATCTTAGTACTACCACCACACCCGCTGCTACTGCACCACCACTACCACTAGTACACCTAGGAATTTCTGCCTTTGCTTTTAAATCCAATTGACACGAGTCCCGCTGAAGGGTCAGAAACCAGTCAGAAACCAGTCAGAAACCCGTCAGAAACCGGCCAAACGCAACCATCTGTTTCCCCCCTCCCTCCCTCTCTCTCTTCTCTCTTTCTCTCTTTCCCTCCCTCTCCCTTTCTTCCCTTGCCCTGCTACTAGAACTCCTACTCCTATTCCTACTCCTACTCTTACCCCTACTACTACTACTACTGCTGCTGCTGCTGCTGCTGCTGCTGGTACTACTGTGAGTTTTCCGGACCGTTTCCGGACTGCGCAGGTTGAAATCGAATGCGTTCACGCATGGATCCTTACTCTCATTAATAGACTTGCTACTACTCTTAGTACTACCACCACACCCGCTGCTACTGCACCACCACTACCACTAGTACACCTAGGAATTTCTGCCTTTGCTTTTAAATCCCATTGACACGAGGCGGCAAACATGTTTCAAATTCAGCAGAAAAGCAATGATATTACAAAGAATTAGCATAAGATTTTTGTCGCGATTCATTATATAATACATAATTTATATTTTATGTATATGATCTGATCAACGAAGAACAAACCCTTCCGCGATTGCTCACTGTGGTACCGCGGTTGCTACGCGATTGGCTGAGCGATTGAGGGCTGTCCGGGAAAAGGTATTTTGGACAACCCCCATATATCTTTAAGGCAACTTCCGCCCCGCCTCGTGCGGATACTACTGGTACAAGTATATATATAATATATATATATATTATATTTTACATATACTATTATAATCAAACCAATCAAGATACTTGAGGAATCTTTTGAACCCGCTTGAAACTGCCCACCTTCTAAGCCGAGCTTAGGGGAGTGCTGCAGCTGGGTCAGAGCTTCATGAGCGAATGACAGATATTGCCACCCGCTACCCTGCACCTTGTCCGCATTATCAAGGTAGTGCATTGGTGATGTTGCAAGAACCAGCAAATTCATATGAACATTCAGGAGTCCTCTTGTTTTCCGCACATTGAATATCATTATTCAAAGTAACTGCAAAATCGGTGCCAACTCAACCCGAGTGCTGATTCACGGGCCTCTTGTGACCTTAGAATGGCATTAATTTACCGTACTTAATTACTTAATTAAAAACTACATCTTGTCATATCCCACTTCAGTGGGGTATCAATTCGATGATAACTTGCAAGTTTCTTTGGTTGCAAGTTTCTTTGGTTGCTAGTGTTGTTGTTTGTTGCTTGTTGTTTGTTTTTTGTTGTTTGCTTTTGCTTTTGCTTTTGCTGTGGTTGTTGTGGTGGTTGTGGTGGTTGTTTGTGGTGGTTGTGGTTGTTGTGGCTGTTGTGGTTGTTGTGGTTGTTGTGGTTGTCGTGGTTGTTGTGGTGGTTGTGGTTGTTGTGGTTGTTGTGGTTGTTGTGGTTGTTGTTGTTGTTGTTGTGGTTGGGGTGGGGCAGGGCAGTAACGTTCATATACTGTACTGTACATATGCCCCGCATTGCTCGCCAATGAAGCTCATACGATGCCACGGAGATATATTCATGAAGTGGACTGTGCTGCAGCAAAAGTATCCGAACAAATACCTGGTGAAACATGTCAAAAGTGAACGAACAAAGAAAGACAATCAAAGGAAACCTCAAATCTGGGCTTGGGTCTTTCAGCATGCGCAGACATATGTCAGCAACAAAGGAAAAGAGCTGCCGCCCCTTCTTTTCCAGAACTTCATGAGCAAAATCCTTAGATCCTATTATTGAAAACACATGAAAATACAATAAGTTACCAGGCCCATCCTGTTGTTGCTGTCGCTGTTGCTGTTGTTACCCCAAGCGCTGACGTTCACAGCGGTTCGGGCGGCCACCATGAAGGAAGGCACCGAGCTCGAAGACATCGACAGCAACTTTTGGGATGAGGGCAATGCGCCACTGGGATGCATATCGTAAAGGTTATGTCAGCATCAAAAATCAAATTCGAATGACGTGAAATGACGCGATATGACGTGAATAAGCTTAACAAAGTACAAGTGGCCCTTGCGTTGCGAGACTGGGTTTTCCAGGCTTTCTGTGTAGAAATGTGTGGAATGGTTGAAGATATTTGAAGATGGTTCAGTTTGGCATGAAAAGAGTCGTAAGCTGGTGAGGCGGCTGACCTCACATGACCTCGACACCATGGGCCTGGATGCTTTGCTATGTTTGAATGTGATGTGAACTGTGAACGATGGAAGAGATGCGTGCAGTGTACAAACATGTGCAAACATGTGTTTAAACTTTAGTGTAAACTGCACGCAAACGCGGACACTGCAGTGGCAGACACAGCACTTCTAGGCTCACCGGCTCACCATCCCTTTAATACCTTGAATCCGTGACTGAAAGGAGTATTGATCACCCGGCAACTTCAAAGTGCAAGAAACTTGAAGGTGATGCAAGAGCCTTTCTTGGCAACCTTGAGTTTTGATCCACTTGACTTGAAATTCAGACCGCTTGCAATTCAGGACTTGCATAAATGCTCGAAGTTATATATATATATAGGGGGCCCCTCTTTTTTTTAACCTTGCGTCTCTTTTTTTTAACCTTACCTCTTTTTTTAACCTTGGAAAACTCTTTTTTCTAACCTTGCCTCGCTACCTCTCTTTTCTGACCTTGCCACCTCTTTTTTCTGACCTTGCCACCTCTTTTTTCTAACCTTGCAGCTCTTTTTTCAAGCCTTGCACCTCTTTTTTCTGACCTTGCCACCTCTTTTTTCTAACCTTGCACCTCTTTTTTCTAGCCTTGCACCTCTTTTTTCAAACCTAGTTTGCAATTTTGCCCAGCAGTCCCAGCTCCAGGGATTGAGCCCAGAGCAAGGTTAAAGTGCGGCTGGCTTGGAGATTGTGGAAGGTTCTAGACGGTTCCAGGAGATTTGGGAGATTCTGTGCCTATTTGTCCTATCTGCTCTATCTATCCTAGGTTTCCTGTTTGTCCGATCTGTCGTGTTTGTCTTATCTGTCCAATTATTCTCACCTATCCAACCCTGACCTATATCTATCCAATGTTTACATCCAACTTCCGAGACCATTTCCTCGACCTTTCCTCTCCTAGCCTATCCTATCTTATCACATCCTTTCAAATGCAATTCTATCCTATCCATCCTATTCAGTCCTGTCCCATTCTGTCCTATCGCATCTCATCCCGGCTACCTATCTACCTATCTACCTATCTACCAATCTACCTATCTACCTATCTACCTATCTATGTATCTATCTATCTATCTACCTATTTATCTATCTATCTATCTATCTACCTATCTAATTATCTATCTATCTATTTATCTATCTATCTATCTATTTATCTATCTATCTAATTATCTATCTATCTATCTATCTATCTATCTATCTATCTATCTATCTATCTATCTATCTATCCATCCATCTATCTATCTACCTATCTATCTGTCTATCTATCTATCTATCTATCTATCCATCTATCTATCTATCTCTCTCTCTCTATCTATCTATCTATCTACCTATCTATCTATCTATCTATCTATCCTATCTTTCCTATCTTTCCTATCTTTCCTATTTCTCCTACCTCTCCTATTTATCCTATCTAGCCTATCTATCCTATCTATCCGATGTATCCTATCTTTACAAGCTATTTCACCATATCTATCTGTCTACCTATCTATCTGTCTATCTATCTATCCCATCCTATCCTATCCTATCCTATCCTAGCCTATCCTATCCTATCCTATCCATCGATCTATCTATCGATCTATCTATCTATCTATCCTATCTTTCCTATCTTTCCTATCTTTCCTATTTCTCCTACGTCTCCTATTTATCCTATCTAGCCTATCTATCCTATCTATCCTATCTATCCTATCTATCCTATCTATCTATCTATATACCTATCTATCTATCTATCTACCTATCTATCTATCTATCTATCTCTCTATCTACCTATCCATCTGTCGATCTATCTATCTATCTATCCTATCTGTCCTATCTATCCTATCTATCCTATCTTTCCTATCTCTCCTGTCTCTCCTATTTTTCCTATCTATCGTATCTATCCTATCTATCCTTTCAACCCTATCTATCCTATCTTTCCTATCTAACTCTCCTAGCTTTCTTTGCTATCGATCTTTCCTATCTATCTTTACTTTCTATTCTACCATATCTATCTATCTAGCTAGCTAGGTAGCTATCTATCTATTTGTTTATCTCTCTACCTATCCGTATACAAACTATACCAGTCCGGATTTATCTATACAGATCCATTTGTATTTATTTTTTCCAGACCTATCTATATCAAACTACACTAATTTGAATCTATTTATATCAACCTACTTCAATTTTTATCTATCTATATCAAACTATTTCAGTCTCACTCTATCTATGTAATTCTATGTATATATACATATACCTTTATTCATCTAATTCTATCTATATCAAACTAGGTTAATCTGCATCTATGTGTGTCTATTTTTATCTATCTAGCAATCTATCTATGTATATCTATCTCTATCTTTGCCTCCATCTATCTAGCTATGACTATGTCTATATGTCTCTATGTCGCAATGCCTCTTTGCCTATATATATCTATCGATCGATCTATCTTTCCATTGCGTATCGACCCATCTTTCCATCCATCAACTTATCTATCTATCTATCTATCTATCTATCTCTCTCTCTCTATCTATCTATCTACCTATCTATCTATCTATCTATCTATCTATCTATCTATCTATCTATCTATCTTTCCTATCTTTCCTATCTTTCCTACGTCTCCTACGTCTCCTATTTATCCTATCTAGCCTATCTATCCTATCTATCCGATGTATCCTATCTTTACTAGCTATTTCACCATATCTATCTGTCTATCTATCTATCTGTCTATCTATCTATCTATCTACCTATCTATCTGTCTATCTATCTATCTATCTATCCTATCCTATCCTATCCTAGCCTAGCCTAGCCTATCCTATCCTATCCTATCCTATCCTATCCATCTATCTACCTATCTATCTATCTATCTATGTATCTATCTATCTATCTATCTATCTATCTAGCTATCTATCTATCTATCTATCTATCTATCTATCTATATCTCTCTCTCTATCTATCTATCTACCTATCTATCTATCTATCTATCTATCTATGTATCTATCTATCTATCTATCTATCTATCTATCTATCTATCTATCTATCTATCTATCTATCCTATCTGTCCTATCTATCCTATCTATCCTATCTTTCCTATCTCTCCTATCTATCCTATCTTTCCTATCTCTCCTATCTCTCCTATTTATCCTATCTATCGTATCTATCCTATCTATCCTTTCAACCCTATCTATCCTATCTTTCCTATCTAACTCTCCTAGCTTTCTTTGCTATCGATCTTTCCTATCTATCTTTACTTTCTATTCTACCATATCTATCTATCTAGCTAGCTAGGTAGCTATCTATCTATTTGTTTATCTCTCTACCTATCCGTATACAAACTATACCAGTCCGGATTTATCTATACAGATCCATTTGTATTTATTTTTTCCAGACCTATCTATATCAAACTACACTAATTTGAATCTATTTATATCAACCTACTTCAATTTTTATCTATCTATATCAAACTATTTCAGTCTCACTCTATCTATGTAATTCTATGTATATATACATATACCTTTATTCATCTAATTCTATCTATATCAAACTAGGTTAATCTGCATCTATGTGTGTCTATTTTTATCTATCTAGCAATCTATCTATGTATATCTATCTATCTCTATCTTTGCCTCCATCTATCTAGCTATGACTATGTCTCTATGTCTATATGTCTCTATGTCGCAATGCCTCTTTGCCTATATATATCTATCGATCGATCTATCTTTCCATTGCGTATCGACCCATCTTTCCATCCATCAACTTATCTATCTATCTATCTATCTATTTATCTATCTATCTATCTATCTATCTATTTCACAATCTGTCATTTTTTCTGTCTGTCTATAGATCAATCTTTCTTTCTTTCCATCGACCTGTGTATCTATGTATCTATCTATCTATCTATCTAACTATCTGACTATCGATCTGTCTACCTATCTATCTATCTATCTATGTATCTATGTATCTATGTATCTATCTATCTATCTATCTATCTATCCTTTGAATCCTATCTATCCTATCTATCACATCTATCCTATCGATCTTATCTATTCTTATCTATCCTATCTATCCTATCTATCCTATCTAGCCTATCTATCCTATCTATCCGATGTATCCTATCTTTACTAGCTATTTCACCATATCTATCTGTCTATCTGTCTATCTGTCTATCTGTCGATCTTTCTATCTATCTATCTATCTATCCATCTATCTATCTATCTATCTATCTCTCTATCTCTCTATTTGTCTGTCTCTCCTTTCTATCCTATCTATGCTATGTATCCTATCTTTACTATCTATTTCGCCATATCTATCTTTCTCATTCTATCTATATACCTTTATTCATCTAATTCTATCTGTATCAAACTAGGTTAATCTGCATCTATGTGTATCTATTTTGATCTATCTAGCAATCTATCTATCTATATCTAACTATCTCTATCTTTGCCTCCATCTATCTAGCTATGACTATGTCTCTATGTCTATATGTCTCTATGTCGCAATGTCTCTTTGCCGATAGCTATCTATCGATCTATCTATCTTTCCATTGCGTATTGACCCATCTTTCCATCCATCAATTTCCTATCTGTCCACGCCATGCACACTCCACCCACCAGTCGCCACACTCCGCACGCCAGATGCAAACTCGACATTCCACATGCCTACCTCCGCACTCTACACGCTCCATTAGACTGCAAACTCTACACTTCACACTGCAAACTCCACACCTCACATTGGGCACGAAACGCCCAACGTTGCATTTCACATCCAGCATACTGAACACTACAAATGAAAACCATACACTGCAAACATTACAGTCCACGCCATGCACACTCCACCCACCAGTCGCCACACCCCGCACGCCAGATGCAAACTCGACATTCCACATGCCTACCTCCGCACTCTACACACTCCAGAATCACACACACACAGAGAAAAAGTGCAAGATGGCGCAAGGTTCCAAACAAGTATGGGGAAGTAGGCCAAGAATAAAAAGGAACATGCCAAGGTTAAGAAAGAGTAGGTCAAGGTCAGAAAAAAGTGATCCAAGGTCAAAAAAAAGGGATCCAAGGTCAAAAAAAAGAGGTAAGGTCAAAAAAAAGTGATCCAAGGTCAAAAAAAAGACTTGCCCTATATAGGGCATTTGTAAAATTCTCACCGGATTTTCCGTTTCAAGAAAAAGATTATGTACTCGCTTCGGCATTGCGTATTCAATCTCCTTACAGGAAGATACGGGCCTTGATAGTAAAGAGTAAAGAAGAACATATTTGTTGTGCCTCATTGCGCGCTTGCCGTTGGAAAAGCAACAGGTGTACACATGAACGGGTGAATTTGGTGTAGGAATTGAGTCAGGCCTGGAAGATTTCTTACAACGGCAAACGTTGAATGTGTATACAACATTATACAACCTGCACAAGAACCTGCAAAAGATGCGCCTTGGAACAATGTCTGTCTTGGCACGCTTTACACATTTTCCAGGTGAACAGGTGCAGGATTCCTTCATGCTACTTCTCCAGTGACCTGCTTTGAAGCCCTTTTTGGACGTTCACGTGCTTAGGATCCTGAAGTTTTTAATGTGAGCTACGTGGAGTGCCATGGCTGCTATAGCAAGGGCTCGAAACACATGCTTTATATAATCTTTAGGTCATGGAGGCTCTTGACTATTGATATTGTGATATATTGTGAGACCTATGTATGGTCTTGGCATATGATGACTAACTAAAAAGGGCATGTATTGTCCAGGATCCAAACAGGCCCCGTGAAATCATGTGACCCGTCACAAAAACCGACAGCGAACATCGCCCCTTTTTGTCGAACAGACCCGCGCCGAGGCTCCGTGTCAGCAGCAAGTTGCTGCGACAGGATCCTTCTCTGGCGGCAGAAGTGGCTTTGCTGCGTCGACAAGCCGGAGGTCACGACAACATCCGCTTCCCAATGGAATCTTGGATCAGCTTGGATCTTACTTACACATCATCCAGTCGAAAGGCTGCAAGGCAGGGAATTAGATCATCAGTAACGGGCACAGCATCACAGTCAAAGCAGTTTGATTTTTTTTTTACAACTACTAGCTAGTGACTGTGATGCGGCCCCAATCCAAGCACCTGCCCAACATCCAAGATGGAATCTCAAAAGATGTGACAAATGGCATCAGCAACATGTGTGATTGTAGAATAAGTCCTTCGTTGTATGACAGCCCTAGCAGCTCATCCTGTTGGAGAAAAGATCCTGAGAAAGGAGAGAATTCCAAATTTGTGCCTGCATTCTGCAAGGATGCAGTGATTCGTGGCTTAGATGGCAATAGGGAAGGCGCACATCAAGTGTAAAGGCCACAAAAAACAGCACCATGCACCACGTAGAATCTAGAACGATCAAATATGCGCATATTTTGGCATTACAAAACTGTTGCGAAGTTGAGCAAAGTCAACCACCTTTGGTCAGTGAGAGCAACATAGAGAGTGCTCCGACTGGTGACTACTGCCTGCCCCGCCCATCCCAAGAACTAGCTTGCCAAATAGCTCAGGCTGCTTTGGCTGGACTTTTGACGCTGACATTCTTGATTCCTCCTTCCAGGTGAACTTGACACACAATGGAAAGTGTCGCGGCTGCAGTAGTGATAGTGCTGCTTCTAGTCGGTTCGCATCCGGCTCCGCACAAAGAGCCGGTTCGTTCGCACAAGTCCAATTCACATGCCATGGTGTGATGTTGTGCTTCCAATTCCGATGTCCTTTGGTGTTCGAAGCACATCTTGTTGGCGCCTTTGAGGTATCCGAAGATCACTACAAGCTGGGATGTGGAAGGCAGGCACATAAATGTGACAGAAGTGGTGCAACCGAAGCACGTGATCGTATAGGCGTTTGCGTGCTGTGCCGACTTAGATAGCCTCAGATGGATAGCACGTCCCAGCAAGATTCACAAGGGTTTCATCAGGGGAGGCAGGTGGATTTTGCATTGGCTGAAATTGGTTTTGGATTTTTGGCCTTGCTTGTGGCAGGAGTCCCTGGCATGTATGCTGCTGGCACGATCAGTCATAGCTTGGATTTTCGAAAGTCTGCTGGAGGTCGGGTTGGCCCGGGAGTGAGATAGATTGCGATGATTGGGTAACGTGGATTGGGGCTGATCGCGCATGTGCAATCCCCAGAGGCTTAGGTGTTGTTGCTGATCGATCTTTTGCCAAGTGCTGATCTAAAAGCCTAGTCACTAGTAATATGTAGCCTTGCCTGTTGATAGGTCTGGACGAGAATGCGGTTTTGACATGTACGATACGGTACCAAGTCCGTGCATGCGTGAGCTTCCGTGGTACTCATGCAAGTCATGAATTACAACATTTATTTGAAGGCAGACCGACCTTTGCAACGCCTGAAACGGCAGGTTTCATCCATGGTTTTCGCTACACGTAGGGGGCCTTGGCTGTTGCCGATGCTGCTCACTGTTGGAGAATGTTTGTCGAGTGTCTATTGCGTACAAATTGGCATGGGGAGCTTTCCAATTGAAAAGTGGCGACTGTAGATTAAAGATGAAAAAAGATGAAACAAGCTACTCAGCAGAATTGATGAATTCTGCATGTTTCTGCCTCGTCGAAGGTCAAGAGCCTTGTTTCGCTTACTGGAAGAAAGGCAGATAGGGCCGGAGCACATGCGTTCAGAGCCCAAATGCGGAAACTGCAGCGCTCGTCGGTGATTCATGACATACATTGAAATAGGCTCTACTGCAGGTGGAGGTAAATGCGAGACAAGGCCTCAGTCTTGAACCCTCCTACTTCTTCATTAAGAAATTCGAAACAACATTGTCTTGAAATAAATGCCATTCATATCCATTCATCATAATGATGAGATACAATGCGAGTTGTGCATCCCTTGACCAAGGGATCTTCGTGTGGCAGGAACTTTGGTACTGCCTGGCCTCAACAAAGTTGGAAGATCGCTCTGAGCTGTGGTGTGCCAGGCTGGGAGTGCGGCCTGTCGGCTGACAGCGGCTGAACAGAGGTTGTTGTCCAATGTTGTCCACCCGGCCCAGCTAACTTTTCTCGACTTATGATAGCTAGATATAGCATGATATAGCTAGGCTACTGCTAGGTCTGCTAGGTTATCCCTGGGACTGATGACCTGATGATGGGTGATGAATGATGATGAAAGGCACTCAAGGATGGAGTCACGAACCCATCGGCAGATCACTTCCTAAGTTGATGTAGTCTGGCTGCCAAACAGCCAGTTCGAGAATCTTGGAACATCTTAGAACATCATATCAAAGTATGCATTCAAGACATTTTAACACTGAGTAAACATGTGGTATGCCATACCTGCCATATCCTGCCATATCCTGCCATACCTGGTATGCCTTCATTATGTCTTCCATTGTCTTCCTATCTTCGGATTCTTCGGTTTATGCAGGTGCCATGGATGTCCATGACCGCCACGGCCCCCATGGCCCCAGTGTGTCGCCCAGCTGCATGGCTGGTGGCCTGACGGCCCCCATGGAGCCAGTGGTCGATCACTTGTTGGAGCGGATCAACAGCGCATCAGGACGCAGTGCAAAGTGCGCAGGTGGATGTTCAAAATGAATTCAAAATGATTGAAATGGTCCACTATGGTCCAAAATCACATTTCAGATGATCTTATATGATTTATATATATATATATATTTATGTTTTGATGCTATATGGCTATATAATATATGTAACTGTACATGACATATGTGATTCTTGACATGTCATTTTATGGATTCTGTGGCTGCCCGAGGATGGAATAGGTAGCGTATGCATATAAGATCATATCAGATGCTGCGATGATGTGGGGGTGTCGTATGGTGTGTGGGGAATCGTCATGGCACAAACGGGCAGTACGTGTATGTGTAGGTAGGTGTGTTTTTGTGTGCGTGTTTGCGTGTGCGAATCTAAGTGTTTGTTTGTGCTCTTGTCGAGATCCTCGAAATCTATACAGTGAACATTTGGTTCTACCCAGCCATCGTTCGCTCCAGGACCATATCAGATGTTTGAGTTCCTAGGATTGGAGCTGGCGGGCCGGCAGGTCTTGTCAGCAATGATACTGAGATATGCAAGCAGTTGCTTGCCTAAGCTCTTCACATTTTGTCCATCAGTCGTTGAAACATGTTCGCTGCAACCCTGACGTTGCGCCGCGTCTGACTTCAGGTGGCTATGAAGAAAAAGTTGATGTTATTACTCCAATCAACATATTGTTCATAGGGGGTGGCGAATTTTGATCCCTTATGCAGATAAAGTTGATGTTATTACCCCAACCAACATATTGTTCATAGAGAGTGGCGAATTTTGATCCCTCATGGAGATATAGTTGATGTTATTACTCCAATCAACATATTGTTTATAGGGGGTGGCTTATGCAGATAAAGTTGATGTTATTACCCCAACCAACATATTGTTCATAGGGGTGGCAAATTTTGATCCCTCATGGAGATATAGTTGATGTTATTACCCCAATCAACATATTGTGCAGAGGGGGTGGCAAATTTTGACCCCTCATGAAGATAAAGTTGATGTTCTTACCCCAGTCAACATATTGTTCAGAGGTGGCGGCGAACTTTAATGTGATGATGATCATGATGTGATGATGTGATGATTTGATGATGATGATGATGATGATGATGACGACCATGACGATTGCAAGTGTGGAGCAACGTCCGGGTTGGAGCGAACGTGTTGAACATATGGGTTACCAGTAGTACCGCACAAGGCGGTGGCGGAAGTTTCAAAAATAGGAAACCTATAGGAGAGGTTGGTTGTTGTGAATCAAGGATGGCAGAGCGAAGCCACTGATGGACCGAAAGGTGGTTGAGGTCTCCTCTCTTTCTCTCTCTTTCCCTGACTACCTACCTACCTACCTATTTATCTATCTATCTATCTATCGATCTATCGATCTATCGATCTATCGATCTATCGATCAATCTCTCTCTCTCTTTCTTTCATCTAATTATCTAATTATCTATCTATCTCTCTATCCCTCTATCTCTCTATCTCTCTATCTATCTATCTATCTACCTATCTATCTATCTATCTATCTCTCTATCTCTCTATCTCTCTATCTCTCTATCTCTCTATCTCTCTATCTATCTATCTATCTCTCTATCTCTCTATCTCTCTATCTCTCTATCTCCCTATCTCCCTATCTCTCTATCTCTCTATCTCTCTATCTCTCTATCTCTCTATCTCTCTATCTCTCTATCACTCTATCACTCTATCCCTCTATCTCTCTATCTCTCTATCTCTCTATCTCTCTATCTCTCTATCTCTCTATCTCTCTATCCCTCTATCTCTCTATCTCTCTATCTCTCTATCTCTCTATCTCTCTATCTCTCTATCTCTCCATCTCTCTACCTATCTATCTCTCTATCTATCTATCTCCCTACCTATCTATCTACTATCTTTCTATCTATCTATCTATCTATCTATCTATCTCTCTCTCTCTCTATCTATCTACCTATCTATCTATCTAATCTAATCTAATCTAACCTAACCTAATCTAATCTAATCTAATTTAATCTAATCTAATCTAATCTATCTATCTATCTATCTATCTCTCTATCTCTCTCTCTCTCTCTGTTTGTCTGTCTGTCTGTCTATCTACCTGTCTATCTGCAAGCTTGAAAACCAAGCTATTCTGCGAGATGTCTTCATTTTTCAAAGTTGACAACATCAAAAACGAAGCAATTCTGCGAGACTTCCCCAATGTGCGAACTTAACAACCTCAAAAACGAAATTCTGCGAGACCTCTTTATTTTTGAAAGTTGGCAACATAAAAAACGCAGCAATTCAGCGAGACTTCCTCAATTTTTGCATTTGACAACATCAAAATCAAAGCAGTTCTGGGAGACTTCCTTCAAAAATGGAAAGTTGAGTGCAGCGCTGACAGCCTCGTACCAATTCGTTTTGCGATTCTTCCACTCCACCTGTCTAAAGTACTGCGCCTGCCACGAAAAATTGATGCCAGGTCATACGAAGTGCTGCACCTGTCACGCAAAATCATCTTAGCAAACCTCCAGATCTGATGCTCCAAAATGCAACCCCTCTCAGGAAATCAGCCCTCTGACCTCCTAACATCTCTCATGAACAAGTCTTTTGTACTGCAGATCCTCTTCAAATACATTTTGACTTGGAAATGTGCTTCGCGCCACAACGGCGTGCACTTTTTCAACATCTCAACTTCCAAAAGTGGTCCGAGGCTGAGGTGTTTTGTACATTTTGAATTGGAAATATGCTTCGCGCCACAACGGCGTGCACTTTTTCGACATCTCAACTAGTAAAAGTGGTCCGAAGCTGGTGTGTTTTGTACATGTTGACTTCGAAATGTGCTTCGCGCCACAACGGCGTGCAATTTTTCATCTCTCATCTGGCCAGCTGGCTCCGCACCCGCCGCTTTAGCGAGCCTACTTTTCGACCCTCCAGAGCCACAAATCTTTCCTACCTTTTCGCGCATCTGCATCTTCTTTCTTCTGGCTCTTTCTCTTCTACTCTTCTCTCTTCTAATCTTTCTCTTCTCTCTGCCTCTGCCCTGCTCTGCTTTTCATCTGCCCATATTGTCGGAAGTTTGACTTCTAAACTTCCTTCGATTAATAAGTTATATATTTATTTTATTCCTATGGTGGTTATATTTCTATATATATATATAGATATATATACACGGATTTTACCAGACCTTCCTACAGAATGGGTGACATGCTGAACATTTTTTCTTGTTGCGGCAGGAGACATGCTGCTGTTGGAGGCCAATGCCTCACAACTGCACCTGCGAATGCTGGAGGAGGCGGAGATGAATCGGACGCCACATAGTCCGTAGTACCATGGAGATTTTACCATCTATGCGATTATATATCTGTATACGTATATGATTAAAAAAGTAAAGAAACCAAATAAACAATAGATAAATATATAAATCAATCAAGAGAGAGAGACAGAGAGAGAAAGAAAGAGAGAGAGAGAGAGAGAGAGATAATTCTATATACTCCATCCACAATTAATTACTCCATGTAATTTATCCCCTTCGCGGATTGTTTTACAAATCAGCCATGGACAGGTCCCCTTGCTGCACTTCCATGAGCGCTACAAGGAGAGCGAATCTAAATGAGTTGAGTGTCACTCAAAAAGACGGCATTTGTATCAAGATGTGGGAAGCGGTGAAAAACGGTGGAACGTTGTTTAGTTTGTAGCGGAAACCCTTTTCTTTCTCCACTCAGATGCACGAGCGACAATTTGCAGCTAGAACCGGCACCAATAGAAACAACATGAAACAACAGCCAACCCTTCAGGCGTCCTTTGGATTCCTTTAGGATCTTTGGGTTTCTTGAAAATCTGGAGGACACAGCTCGGCTCACGTGGGTCTTCCGCTACAATGACAACTTTCATGGACCCGCTGTTATGAGCCACTAGCTTACAATGGTTTACATGTGAAATCATGGGGGTTATCCGGGTCTTTCATGGTCTTTCTTCATCTCTGGGGATCTATTCAGAGGGGCTCTAATCAAGGGTTTCTATCATCTATGGATAAATTATTGTACTGTAATTTATTATGTTGTTTTTCTTTTTTGTTTATTTTTTTTTGGGACATTGGGACGAGATAATACCAACCCCATAGCAAAAAATACATTGTCATAAAATATCATAACATATATAAAACAAAAATATCCATTGCAAAACCATGGCCTCATGGCAGTGGGTGAATGTAATGGGCTCAAGCTCAATAGAAATGTGAGAATTAGCAGTGGCGAATCTGTGCCTTTCGATCAGGGGAAGAAACTTACGGATCTTCGTTAGATCACTGATTTCAAGATGCGGAACTGATTGGAATCCAACCTTGGGTAGGCAAGCGGAACACTTTGGATGCGGGTCCAGATGGTCAAGAAAATGCATTGCATGAGATGAATTAACACGACTTACTCTTCACGTAAGTACGTGAAGTAACCGAGCTTGTCCACAACCCATACGACAATCGAGTCAACAGAATCCTTCAGACATATTTCGGAGGAAGGCACTGGCCACTAAGATATGGGGCTTGCGCATCTTCCAGCATATCCGAAAACCAACTTTTGGTGGACGTATGGGTTTGGCCATTGTCTTGTCTGTTACTTGTTGCTGTCGTACAGGTTTGTAGAATCCCGTGCTAGAAACGCAGAAACGCGCCCCTGTCTGTCGAAGCGCCCAGAACCCTGCCAAATACACCTCTACGGATCAGGATTTTGATGATCTCAGGTTTCGGCCAGTTTTTTTTTGCTCGTTTCGGGTTCGGTTTTTGTCCTTTGGCGTTTAGCAAGTACGGCCATATGACCCAAAAAATTGGCTGGATGCGTCTCCAGGTTGTTGCAGTGCGCTCAGGATCAGACGTGCCATGAAAGACCCCACGCACCCAAACAATAAATCACGCACTCAAAAAATCAAAGTCAGTCAAGAAGTCAATTCAGTCAGCAATCGAAATTAGTGATTTGGCCAATCAACTTGTCAATCACCCCCAGCAAGAGCACAAACAAGCAATCAAACAAACAAGTGAGAAAGTGGGTAAACAATTGGGCAAACAAGCAAACAAACACAAGCACCATGATTTGGTTTGTTTCTTGATCCTTATTGATTCTTGTTGATAATCATTGCTCATTGATCCTGATCGATCATCCATATTGATTGGATCCGCATTGATTGATCCATTTCGATCCTCATCTCTATACTTCTTCTGATTCTGCGAATGCTTGGCCCCAGCTGTTTCGGAAGCAACCTATGAGGTCGAGATCGCGTCGGAGCAACTCGTGTAGAGGCGGCATCGGTGAATCCAATGTCCCATGCCAAACACATCCAAACACCATAACACTCCAGTGACTTGTAGTGTTGGAGGAAAACCTGGCAGCTGCTTCGCATTGCTTTTTTGCCAACCTGCTTTTGTTTTGCTTTTGCATGCTTTTGCCAAATGAGGGCAGAGTAGATAATCTGTTTTTGTTTGCCAGCGTTCACAGGAGGCGCACAACTCGAAGTTTCTACATCCACACCTTGCCTTCTTTCCTGCTCACAGTGCTACTCCTACGATGAGGCTGGTGCCCATACGCTTGCGGTTTCGTTTAATGGGGTTAGGTTCCAGTTGAAAAAAGGGGTCTGCCCCATTGCGGTTGCTCTATGTTGCTTTAGATTGCTGTGGACACGTTGTGCCAAAAAAAATCACAGATTCAGAGCTTGCGAAGCTTGAACAATCTTAACAACTTAAGCTATCTTGAGCTAATGAGAGGATATTTCTGCGAATATTTGCATAAGTTTGCACATGGAGCTTTCAGTTGAACATTGATAGCTGTGGCTCAGACTGTGGCTTCTTTTTCACTGCAGGCATTGGCTTGTGGAGGAGCATTCCGCATGCCTTGTGCAAGTGTTCAGATCAGGTCTGGGGGAGATTTATATATACAGTGCAGTAAGCCTGCAGCGAAAAGATGCGATTGTGAAACCATCGCTCGCAGGACG